GCTTCTCTTATGTTCTTCTAAGAGGGAATTGCATATGCATATAGAGCAGAGGTCCATCAGTGGCTATTAGCCACAAGGTATAGAGAGGAACTCTCAGTCTGGGGCAAGGGATGCTCTGTATTCTTGGTGCTTGGGGGGGGGGCAACAGTGTGGGGGGGGGGCTTCTAGTGTCCTGGCCCCACTGGTGGACCTCCTGATGGCACCTGGTATTTCTGGCCACTGTGTGACACAGAGTGTTGGACTGGATGGGCCTTTGGCCTGATCCAACATTGGCGTCTCTTATGTTCTTATTTATTTATTTTATTTATTCCATTCCATTTCTATCCCGCCCTCCCCGCACGCAGGCTCAGGGCGGCTTACAAGGCACAAAGTGCTATAAAACAGATAGATTAAAACAACAGAAGCTAAAAACATTGACAACTCACAGGATACGTGAAGGACTAAAATTGCGCACTCTCCATTGCATATCAGGAGGAGGTCAGAGGTCAAAAGACAGAAGGGGGACGGCACGAGCCATGATGTTCCAATTACTCATCAGCCCACTCCGGCGGTTATGCGGTGGTGGTAGTGGTGGCGGCGGCCCCTACTCAAAAGCCTGGCGGAAGAGCTCCGTCTTGCAGGCTCTGCGGAACTGTAAAAGGTCCCGCAGAGCCCTGGTCTCCTCCGGGAGCTCATTCCACCAGATAGGGGCCACCACCGAAAAGGACCTGGCCCTCGTGGTAGCTAGCCTGGCCTCTTTAGGGCCCGGGGTCACTAAACGGTGCTGTGACCCCGGCCAAAGTGCTCTTTGGGGCCTATATGGGGAAAGGCGGTCCCTCAGGTATGTCGGACCCTGGCCATGTAGGGCTTTAAAGGTGAGCACCAGCACTTTGAAGCAAATCCGGTACGCTATAGGCAGCCAGTGCAGCGCCTTCCGCACAGGTTGGATATGTTCCCATTTAGGGGCACCAAAGTCAAATAGACCCACACTATGCCTTGAATGAAAGATTGAATGTAAGATTCCTATAATAGGATTTGTTCCAGAGGAAAGACCAGAGGTCTGAAACACTTAGATATCCGGAAAAAGTGTTGACTGAAAGAGAGACCCAGATTGGCTGAATTTGGAGCAGACTGCTTTTGGGAATTTGGATAAGGATACAAGAATGTTATGGGGCTGCGGTGGCTCAAGTGGTTAAGAACCTGAGCTGCAGGCTGGAAGGTCGGTAGTTCGGCAGTTCGAGACCTGGGTGCCGCATGACGGATTGAGCTCCCGTCTCTGGCCCCAGCTCCTGCCAACCTAGCAGTTCGAAAGCAAGAAACGGCAAGTCAATCAATAGGTACCACTTTGGTGGGAAGGTAACAGCATTCCGTGCGCCTCGGCGTTTAGTCATGCCGGTCACATGACCATGGAGAAGTCTTCGGACAGCGCTGGCTCTTCGGCTTGGAAACGGAGAAGCTTGGTAAAAGGGGTGCCAGCTACACCCGGGGGAGGGCCCATCTCAGGACCGACAGTGCACTTCCCGGCTCTGATGGAGCCACTGCGTGGTGCTTTCCAGAGTTTGTTCGCAACAAGAATCAGCCAAAGAGCCTTTGGGTTTGCACCCTCCCTCCCGTACCACCCTGAGCTTTCCTCCGAGGAAAGAGACAGCGAAGTTAGAGAAAAGCTTCGACCTTTTCTGGGCAGAGTGGCACCTTACTGGCCCCCTCCTGCACCGTCCCTCCACTCTCTACAGCAACACCCTTCTTTGAGAGCCAGTTTGGTGTCGTGGTTAGGAGCGCGGACTCTAATCGGGGAGAACCGGGGTTGATTCCCCCACTCCTCCACATGCAGCTGCTGGTGTGACCTTGGGTTAGTTACAAGTTCTCTCAGAGCTGTTCTCTCAAGGGCAGTCCCCGAAAGAGCTCTCTCAGCCCCACCTACCACACAGGGTGTCTGCTGTGGGGAGGGGAAGGGAAAGGAGATTGTAAGCCGTGCTGAGACACCTTTTGGTAGTGAAGGGCGGGGTATAAATCCAAACTCTCCTCCTCTTCCTCTTCTTCCTCCTCCTCCTCCTCTTCTTCCTCCTCCTCTTCCTGTTCTTCTTCCTCTTCCTCCTCTTCCTCCTTTTCTTCCTCCTCCTCCTTTTCTTCTTCCTCCTCCTCTTCCTCTTCTTCTTCCTCTTCCTCCTCTTCCTCTTCCTCCTCCTCTTCCTCCTCCTCCTCCTCTTCCTCCTCCTCTTCTTCCTCCTCCTCTTCTTCCTCTTCCTCCTCCTCCTCCTCCACTACCACCGGCCCTCAAAACAGGGATGGTTTTGTTCAGAATTCTCCTGGGCCCTGGCAGTTCCCTCTTTCCTGGATAATCCCGCCTGGACGACGACTCGCTTTTTTTAATGCTTAGCATTGTCTGTTGCCTGTGACGAACAGGAGCAGAACACTGGCCAAGCCGGTGACTTCACCCCTGTCGTATAGTTAACGTGCCTAATCCTACCTGTATCCCCTGGCAGGGATTTCATGGACCCAACCATGGATAACACCAAGCACATCTTGAACTATCTGATGCCGATCATCGACCAGGTGAATCCAGAATTGCACGACTTCATGCAGAGGTATGTGGAGTTTACTGGGCTTTTCTCAAAGCGTCTTTTATTTAATCATTTGTTAGTCTATGTACGTATTTCAGTTGGCTTTAGAGCCTTTTATATCTCACCTGCTAACCCAGGGGTCCCCAAACCTTTTGAGCCTGTTGGGTACCTTTGCGATTCTGACACAGCATGGGGGGTGGTGCATCCACAAAATGGCTGTCATATAACGGCCGCCACAGGAGGTGGAGCTAGCCACAAAATGGCCGCCACAGCCTCCCTTCAGTGGCTCTTTGAAGGTCCTTCAGCTGTGGTGGCAGCTGCTGCCAAAGCAGTGTGTTAAAAGTCTGCACCGCCAATCAGATTTCCCGTGGCCAATCAGAAGCCTTGCTGAGCAAAAGCCACGCCTGGCCTCACTCATGTCCTAAAAACACTCGGCGGGCCCCAGGAAAGAACACTGCATTGGGGACCCACCATCAGATTCTCGATGGGTTTACAGTACGTAAAAATATTATAAAAGAGAGAAGATTATTTCGGGATTGTGTCCAAAAGCAAACGGGAAGCCTCAAAAGCCCTTTAAGTGTGTGTGTGTGTGTGTGTGTTTTTTTTTTTTTTCCTTCTCTCCGTATCAACCGTCCTCCTGGCAGCTGCAATTTGAACCAGTTGTGTAGTTTGGTGTCGTGGTTGAGTGCGCAGACTCTAATCTGGGAGAACCGGGTTTGATTCCCCACTCCTCCACTTGCACCTGGCTGGATGACTTTGGGCAAGCCGTAGTTCTGATAAGAGCTGTTCTTGAAAAAAGAGCCGTTTCTTTCAAGAGCTCTCTCAGCCCCACCTACCTCACAGGGTGTCTGTTGTGGGGAGGGGAAGGGAAAGGAGTTTGTAAGCTGCTCTGAGACTCCTTTGAGTAGTGAAGTAAATCCAGTCTCCTCCTCCAGTTTGGTGTAGTGGTTAAGTGTGTGGACTCTAATTTGGGAGAACTGGGTTTGATTTCCCACTCCTCCACTTGCACCTGGCTGGATGGCCTTGGGCCAGCCGTAGTTCTGATAAGAGCTGTTCTTGAAAAAGAGCAGTTTCTGTGAAGAGCTCTCTCAGCCCCGCCTGCCTCACAGGGTGTCTGTTGTGGGGAGGGGAACAGAAAAGGAGTTTGTAAGCCGCTCTGAGACTCCTTTGGGTGGTGAAGGACGGGGTAGAAATCCACGCTCCTCCTCCTCCTCCTCCTCCTCCTCCTCCTCCTCCTCCTCCTCTTTTCTGTGCAGTTCTCCCCTGAACTTGGATTTCTGCAGTTTCCCCTTTAAGTTTTTGACAGGAGTAGCCAAACATTGGAACCGCTTTGTGAATCTGTTGGGGGCCCCGATCTCTTAGAATCGCAGAGCGGGAAGGGGCCCGTAGAGGCCATCTAGTCCAAACCCCCCACTCTGCGGAGGGTCAGCCTAGAGCATCCCTGACCAGTGTTTGTCCAGCTGCTGCTTCAAGACTGCCAGGGAGGCCGTGGGATCAGTGATGCTGATCTCATCTACATCAGTATCTTCTATAAATAGAATTGGGAGGAATCCTGACATGGACATTTTAAAAGGCTTGTTTTCCACCTTGAGGAGCTGCGGTGACTCAAGTGGTTAAGACGCTGAACTGCAGGCTGTGGAAGGTCAGTAGTTCAGCAGTTCGAGACCCGAGTGTGTTGCATGACGGAGTGAGCTCCCGTCTCTAGTTCCAGCTGCTGCCAACCTAGCAGTTCGAAAGCAAGAAATTGCAAGTAGATAAATAGGGACCACTTCGGTGGGAAGGTAACAGCGTTCCGGGCGCCTTGGTGTTTAGTCATGCCGGCCACATGACCACGGAAACGTCTTCGGACAGCGCTGGCTCTTCGGCTTTGAAACGGAGATGAGCACCGCAACCCCAGAGTTGGATTTGACTGGCTTTCGAGCAAGGGAACCTTTACCTTTACCTTTTCCACCTTGAAAGCATCCAGGGAAGTAGACGTCGCAAACTCCTTTATGTGTTCTGTCCTTTCCTGAATTTCCTTTAAAATCTGGATGTTCTTCTTAATGTTTAACCAAAATGGAATCCTGTGTCGTTTTATTGCTGTCTGTCCTTCCTTCTGTGTGCAGAACAAGCACCTTTGTTTCCCACTGAGCTTCTGAGTGTTTCAGTTTCCAGGAGTCTGGTGTTTGGGTTCCTGCAGAAAAGTCTGCTGGGCCCGATCAGATTGAAGCCTACAATGATCCTGGTCTCTGGGCTGGCTTTGCATTGTTCACTGTCGTTTCCCCGAGTTACCCTCGTGGCACTTTCTTTCTCTTTGGCGTGGGGCCGTGGCTCAGTGGGAGAGCCTCTGCTCGGCATGCAGAGGGTCCCAGCTTCCGTCCCCGGCATCTCCAATTCAAAAGGGATCGGGTGGTAGTTGACGTGAAAGTCTTCCGCCTGAGACCCTGGAGAGCTGCTGCCAGTCTGAGTAGGCAATGCTGACCTTGATGGACTGATGGGAGCTCTGAATCTTGAAGTCTCAGACACCAAAGATCTTGCCACTCAAATCTAACTGTTTTACTGCAGAGCAACACGGTCGCCTTCTGAAACCAAGGTTTAACCGTTGTCCACATTTTGATTTGAGCAGAGGCTGAAGTCTTCATCCCCCCCCCAATCGTTAATTTACTCTTTAATTTACTCTTTAAACCGGTGGTCCCTCCCACGGTACCTGTAAGGCACCCTGGGACGTGCCGGTGTGTTTCCCAGCATCCACCCCCAACCACCCAAGCATCTCTTCCCTGCAGCGAACGACCAATCCTGTCTTTCCTCCCTTTCATCGGATGCACTTCAAAGGGAATCAGGATGCATCTTCTTTGTGTCTGCAGCAGTGTTCCCTCTAAGCTAAGTGAGTGTGAGCCAGCTCACAGTTTTCTAGCCTCTGGCTCACAATTTTTTTTCTTTGCTCAGGAAGGGAGGGCTCCAGAGCAAACTAATTTACGCTGTAGCCAAATCACTCGCTCACAACTTTAATGCCAGTAGCTCACAATGTAGAATTTCTGCTCACAAGACTCCACAGCTTAGAGGGAGCATTGGTCAGAGGGAGCATTGGTCTGCAGGGAGCACCTGCTTCGAAACTGCTGCCCCCATCCTAGGACTGTCATTGGCTTGAAAATGTTAACGTTTTGTGGAACTTCTCAATGCTGTATGATTTTTATGGCAGCCGTCTTATGACGGCTCCCTCCAGGGATCATTCCGTAGAAAAAGAGGTGCAGGAGCTCATTAGCATAACTCATTAGCATAACTTATTTGCATATGCCACACCCCATGACATCACCAGAAGTGTGTCACAAGGCAACACCCACCGCTCAGGCTCCACTGGACTATTTTGGATTGCTAGGTATGGGGGGGGGGGGAACGTGCAGATCTGTTCTCGCAGAGGAGGGAGAGATTGTACCTGAATAAAACTTGGTCTTAAAGGGGCCACTGGACTGTTTGGGGCCGGGGGGCCGGGAGGGGGGTTCTGCAGCTTACCTGGCTGCTTCTTGCTCTGACTGAGGGCTGCTGGGAGCAGGGGGTGGGGCTTGTTGCATGTGCCCGCCCCCCCGGACTCTTTACTGCCGGAGCTCTGTTCCTGTGCACTCCTGCAGGAAATTACTGCTGGCTCCCTCTAAGCTGTGGAGCTTTGTGAGCAAAAATTCTACTTGGAGAGCTCCTGGCATTAAAGCTGTGAGCGAGCGATTTGGCTGCTGCATAAATCAGTTTGCTCCGGAGCCCTCCTTCCTGAGTGAAGCCAAAAATGGGTGCGCCGGAGGCTAAAGAACTGCAAGCTGGCTCACACTCACTCAGAGGGAACAGGCCCTGGCAACCGTTTTATGGTGCTGCCAGCTGTCTGTTCTCAGAATTCCTTAAGTGCCTAAACTTGGTTGGGGGTCTTGCTTTAAACTGTTGAGTGTCAGAAGTATAATTTTGCGGTCTGTTTCCTCTGCAGAAGTGAAGGGTCAAAAGTCCAGAGCACTGAGTGGATCAGCCGACTGGGGTGGTTTGCCTGAAATGTTGTCTGTTTCTCATCAGGGCCGAAGTGGGGACCATTTTTGCTCTCAGCTGGCTGATCACCTGGTTCGGACACGTCCTCTCCGACTTCAGACACGTGGTGCGGTTGTACGATTTCTTCCTGGCGTGCCACCCGCTGATGCCAATCTACTTCGCGGCAGTGGTAAGCATCGCTCGCCAGGTCACTGAAAAAGGAATTAGTCGGATATGGTTTTGAAAAGAAATCAGGGTGTAGAGAGAGGGGGACAGGAGTAGAGATCCACCAGTGGCTATTAGACTGCAGGGGATAGATGGAACACTCTGTCTGGGGCAGGGATGCTCTGTTTTCTTTGTGCTTGGAGGGTGTGAAGAGTGGGAGGGTTTCTGGAGTTCTGGCCCTGCTGGTGGACCTGAAGGCCCCTGGGTTGGCCTGATCCAACATGGCTTCTCTTCTGTTCTTATGTCTGGGGCAGTGATGCTCTGTCTTCTTGGTGCTTGGGGGGCAAGAGTGGGAGGGCGTATGGAGTCCTGGCCCCACTGCTGGACCTCCTGATGGCCCCTGGGTTTTTGGCCACTGAGTGACACAGAGTGTTGGACTGGATGGGCCATTGGCCTGACCCAACCTTGGCTTCTCTGATGTCCTTATGTATTTTCCAAAGGCCGCTTTGCCTTCTGTGCAGCACTCCAGGCTCTGGCTTTGCAGAAGAACGAGGTTGCGTCCATAACAGACGACATCCTTTCCCCACTTTGAGCAATCACACTGCAGCAAAAAAGGCTGGAGGTGGAAGTGGCAGCCAACTTATGGTGACCTTGTAGGCAAGAGACATTCAGAGGTGGTTTGTCACTGCCTGCCTCTGCGTAGCGACCCTGGACTTCCTTGGTGGTCTCCCTCTGAGGACTAACCAGAGCCTGTCCTGCTTAGCTTCTGAAATCTGATGAGATCGGGCTACCCTGGGCTATCCGGGTCAACACCAGAGATGTTCGGCGGTGGTTTGCCCTTGCCTGTCTCTGCGTAGCGACCTCAGCCTTCCTTGGCGGTCTCCCACCCAAGGACTAACCGTGGCCGACCCTGCTTAGCTTTCCAAGATCTGATGAGATTGGGTTAGCCTGGGCCATCTCGGTCAATGCAAGAGATGTCCAGAGGTGGCTTTTGCCACTGCCTGCCTCTGCACAGCCACCCTGGACTTCCTGGTCAGTCCCCGACCCAAGTACTAACCGGGGGTCGACCCTGCTTAGATTCTCGTGGTGACCTCGTAAGAGTTATTAAGGCGTCCTTCTTGACGTGGCCCATCTCGGAGTATGTGGCCCTTGCTCATCACCGTACGATTGGGCATGTGGCATTCCCCCCCCCCTTTACAGTTGTTGGTTTTAAATAAAGCATTATGGCCGACTGAGCACATGGGTTTTAGGGTTTAAGGAAGAAGCCTCCTTGCCCTGATCTCGACTGCCCGGGCAAACCCGACCTCGTCAGATCTCGGAAGCTAAGCAGGGCCGACCCTGGCAAGTCTTTGGATGGGAGACCTCCAAAGAACACCAGGGGCGGGAAGCAGAGACAGGCTATCAAGCCACTTCTCTGAACATGCCATGGAAGCTCGCTGGGTGACCTTGGGCCCATCACAAGCTTTCAGTCTGGCCTTCCTCACAGGATAGTTGTGAGAGAACAGGAGAGGGGAGGGACCGGGGCTCAGTGGTAGAGCCTCTGCTTGGCATGCAGAAGGTCCCAGGTTCAATCCCCGGCATCTCCAGTTAAAGGACCAGGCAGTAGGTGATGGGAAAGACCTCAGCCTGAGACCCTGGAGAGCTGCAAAGAGGGGCCGTGGCTCAGTGGAAGAGCCTCTGCCTGGCATGCAGAAGGTCCCTGGTTCAATCCCCGGCATCTCCAGTTAAAAGGACCAGGCGGTAGATGATGAGAAAGACCTCAGCCTGAGACCCTGGAGAGCTGCAAAGAGGGGCTGTGGCTCAGTGGAAGAGCCTCTGCCTGGCATGCAGAAGGTCCCAGGTTCAGTCCCCGGCATCTCCAGTTAAAAGGACCAGGCAATAGGTGATGGGAAAGAGCTCAGCCTGAGACCCTAGAGAGCTGCAGAGAGGGGCCATGGCTCAGTGGCAGAGCCTCTGCTTGGCATGCGGAAGGTCCCAGGTTCAATCCCCGGCATCTCCAGTTAAAAGGACCAGGCAGTAGGTGATGGGGAAAGACCTCAGCCTGAGACCCTGGAGAGCTGCAAAGAGGGGCCGTGGCTCAGTGGCAGAGCCTCTTCCTGGCATGCAGAAGGTCCCAGGTTCAATCCCCGGCATCTCCAGCTAAAAGGACCAGGTAGGAGGTGATGGGAAAGACCTGAGACCATGGAGAGCCGCTGCTGGTCTGAGTGGACATTACTGACTCTAATGGTCCCAGAGTCTGATTCAGTCGAAGGCAGCTCCGTGTGTCCATGTGAGGAGGACCATGTTCTTAGCCACTTTGAGTTCTGACTGGGGAGAATCCTCTGCCTGGTCCGCCTCCCAGGGCTGTTGTGAGAGAAAAGCGGGATGTGTAAAAATAAAAATGCAACATGTCCTGCAATTGCACGCCCCCATAACCCGGGTCTCTGTCTGCATTCCTCCCTCTGCAGATCGTGCTCTACCGGGCCGAGGAGGTTCTGGCCTGTGAGTGCGACATGGCCTCGGTCCACCACCTCCTGTCCCAGATCCCGCAAGACCTCCCCTACGAGACCTTGATCAGTCGAGCCGGAGACCTCTTCGTTCAGTTCCCGCCGTCAGAGCTCGCCCGGGAGGCTGCTCAGCAGCAAGCGGAAAGGTGAGCAAAGCAGGCTGCATTCAGTGCCCGGTCTGCTGTCTGTACGTCGGTGGGGGTGGGGCCCCTTTCCCCACCGATCTTACAGAAGGGACATGAGCAGCGTGCCCTGGGACCCAGCGCTTGCAGCTACCTTGAAAGAGAGCCTGTTTGGTGTAGTGGTTAGGAATGCAGCAGAACCGGGTTTGATTCCCCACTCCGCCACATGCAGCAGCTGGTGTGACCCTGGGTCACTCACAAGTTCTCTCGGAGCTGTTCTCTCAGGGGCAGTCCTCAAGAGAGCTCTCTCGGCCCCACCTACCTCACAGGGTGTCTGTTGCGGGGAGGGGAAGGGAAAGGAGTTTGTAAGCCGCTCTGAGACGCCTTCGGGTAGTGAAGGGCGGGGTATGAATCCAATCTCCCCCCCCCCTTTATCTTATTGTAATATGTATTAAAGTTACGCGTACCTCAGTATTGTTTGACCTCTGAAGAAGGCCCCAATAGGGCAGAAACGTGTCAGGCCATGTGTATCGGCCCGTGTGTTTAGGCCCGTTTGAGGTTTTTTTACGAGGCTTTCATTGGGCCCTTGTATGTTTTTAACTGTCTTTCAAATAAATACATGTATTTTTGTATATTATAAGTTTCAACTAGGTTTTTAATACTGGCCGTTTATCCGACTTCTTTCTCACCCTTTTGGTCCTGTTGGTCTGCCGTAGAAGAGTTAGGCTTGGGTTCAGTAGCTGCCTAGAGACCCAGCAAGATTTTCAGGGCAGTAGCTTTCGGAAGTCGTTCTTCCCAACGAGGATATCCAACGACGGGAGCTTTGTCTCTCGAAAACTCATGCCACGAAAATTTTGTTGGTCTCCGAGGTGCTACCAGACTCGAACCCTGCTCCTCAGAGCACTCCCCGTAAACCGGCCCGTTGGCCTTTTGCTCTAAGCCCAGAGATTCCCCCTCCTTGACGCTTGTCTCTCCACAACCTTTTGGGGGTGCGACTCGATGTGACCCCGCCTCCCCTCCCTTCTTGTTCCCACGCAGAACGGCCGCCTCCACCTTCAAAGACTTCGAGCTGGCCTCGGCCCAGCAGCGGCCGGACACCGTCCTGCGGCAGCGCTTCCGGGAGCGGCTGCGGGCGGAGGAGCGGGCCAAGGCGCTCCTGACGACGAAACCGAGGACCAACCGCTTCGTCAAGCTGGCCGTGATGGGGCTGACGGTGGCCCTGGGGGCAGCAGCCCTGGCGGTGGTGAAGAGCGCCCTGGAGTGGGCCCCCAAGTTCGAACTGCAGATATTCCCCTGAGAGCCTGGTGTGTGCGTGGGGGGGGGGGAAGAGGAGACGGCCCCCGTCTCGCACGCGGCATCGCGTCCCACCGGCGGAGGGCGGACGGATCCGAAGGAAGGCGCTCCAAAGCATCTCACTCCCCCCCGCTCTCCAACGCTCGCCTTGCTCCGCAGGCCTCCCCGAGCACCCCTCTGGGAAAGACGGAAAGGATCGCCTGCTATCGCTGCAAGACTGCAGAGCCTCGATTTCTGCTCTGCTCCTTGCCCAGTTGATGGCACCGCCCACCCAGGCAGCGGCTGGGCACGTTGGCACTCCAGGTATCCCATTTCCTCCCTCCCACAGTTCGATGGAACGGGAAGCAAATCAAGAGTGGGTGTTTTCCAGGGACTCTGTCGGTTGCTTCTGCAGCGTGAGTGACAGTGGGGTGTGACTGGAGCACGCTTGAAGGATCCTCCCCCTGTTCTCCCCGCACGCCTGTTCCGTTATTGGCATTCCCAACCGTAGAACACGGCAGGCAGTTTCTATCAAGGCGGGGCAGCCCCCCCATGGCGGTCTGCGGCCGACAGCTCCCGTGTCGCTCCCTCTCCCGTAAGGACGGTCCGCAGCACACGGCCCCGTTCGATTCTGCCGAAACAGGTCGCCGTCTTCCGGCCGCACCCCGCGCCAGCAGCTCCTCTCGGCCAGGAAAAGCTCGCATCTGGCGTGAGGACCGATCGGCGCCTTCAGACGTCTTTTCACTGCAGCTCTTTGAGTTAGGTTCTGCGGCTACCTTATTGATTCAGAAACTGCCTTACGGGATAAAGGGGGAGGGGGAGTCTTCCAGCTAAGGAAATCAAACCGCGGTGGGAAACTCCTTAAAAGTCTTTTCCCCCGCTCCCCGAAACAAACTGCGCGTTGCCCGGCTGGGCGCTGTGAGTGAAGGGAAACCCCCCCCCCCAAAAGCTGCACTCGTAACTCCGCGACCCGACTGTCCCATCGATAACACGCACACACACCCCGACACACGCAAACCTCTACCTCCTTCCTCTGCCTAAAGACCCTTTCACAAGTGTCCTTATCTAACCTGCAAACCACTGACGTTGTCTTCTCTGAGAAGGACCCTTGCTTTGGCCGTCTGTGACCCCCGAGCAGCCTCGCCGGGCGGTTGTGGATGCCCAGCCGCGGTTGGGTGTGAAAGGCAGCGAGGCCGTGCTTTCTCACCAGCCTGGGCCAAGTCCTTTCGTCCAGCAGCTTCCGGCCAGGGGGATGAGAAGGAGAGGATGGCCGTCTTTTAGAAGTGGCCGCTGCCCGTGTAAGTTGCTGTGCCTGGAGCTTATCATGACGTGCCCACTAGGAAAGGTGCATGCATTTCTTTGGAACCCTTGTCTGGCTTGTTCAGCGCACTGAACTCTGTGGCGCTTTGGGATTTGCGTCTGCGACACGAAAGGCCAAAGAACCGTGTGGGGGGGGGCTTCTGCTCGCTAGGTCTCCTTGCCGCGCCAACGACCGACCCAAGAAGAAACTCTCTCTATCCCCGTGGGTGGATTGTGGCTGCTGTTCCCAGAAAGGCACGGTCTCTTCTTCCAAGTTTCTGAGACGCCAACCGTTACTGTGTGCGCCTATTACAGGAAGACACGCGGCTCCGCCCTGGCCGCCACAGGTCCAGGAGCACCCGGGGCAGCGTGGCCTCCGAAGAAAAGGGTAGGCGTGGGGGGTGGGGTGCCCGTTCGTGGGGTGAGTGGCAGAGCAGAATAACCGGGGAGGGCGGCTTCGGGGAGGGACGCTCCGCGGGCCTCGGGTGGCGAAAGGTCTGCACAGAAGTTGCCGGAAGGGAGAATCGCGGAATGTTATCTTGCCGAGCAGCGTGTGAAAAATCTGGGCCAGAGACCTTCCCATCCCCGTCCGGCCTTTGCCGAGAAATGACCTCTCAGCCGCGGGCGACCGCTCACCTTTTGAGGCACCAGGACAGAGAGAGGCTTCGGTGCGACGCTTTCGTCCTCCACCGCAGGGCTGGCATTTGTCTTGTCGGCACAGGACGGGAAGACACCCCTTCCTCCCTGCTGCGGCGTGAAAGCAAGACAAAAAGCCAAATCTTAGCGGGCTGAGAAATTACTCTGTGGCTGAGCCGAAAGGGAAGTGAAACCCCGGGCAGGAGAGGGGAGGGGAGGAATCCTCTTGTCATCGTCAGCCTCTGTTGTAAGCTGAAATCCTCTGGGATGGTTTATACATAGCTAGCAGAGTCTCCTGGGGGGGGGGCGTTTTCACCCCCGGTCCACTTCAGGCACCCCCCCGCCTCGCTCATCCCATCGACCACACCCCCCCTTTACCCCTTGATTCCGTGGGTCTTAGAGACCAGCGCAAAGAGGACGCTGGCTCAGACGTTCCGCGGGTCTGGAGAAAGGCTGGGAAACACCTTCCCTGTGAGCAGGGAAGGCGGACCATCCTATCGGTGATGGATTCTTCACGGGCTGGCGAACCTGACAGCCGCATGACCCAGCCCCTCTGTTGCACTGTGACGAGAGCACATGTGCCCCTGGGGCTGTGGCCTTCACACCGTTGCAGGTTCCCCTTGCCTCCTTTTGCCACGAAGGCAGCGTCCCGGTCACTGGAACTTTGCACAGACCCCCCTCAGTGGCTCAGTCCCGTGGGTGCGAATTGAATGGTTACCGTATCCCACCCTCTAGCCACAGAGGTACGGCTGGGAGTGGCCCGGTGCGGCTGGAGAACTCCAGCCCAACTTGCCGCACCAGCCTTGTGTCGGGGCCTCCCACTGGTTAACAGCCCCCCCCTTTTTAAGAAGTCTCCCGCCGGCAGCACAAAACAAGAGATTTTATCAAGCCCTTTGTCGGGTGCCGTATGCGGCTGGTCGGCTGCATTCGGCGTGGCGAGCCACGAGTCGCGTAAACCTGACAGTCGCGGGGCAAATCCGTAGCACAGGTGTGCTGTGCTACCCAGAGGAGAGAGAACATTTTGGGTGGTGGGGCGTCGTAGAAAGAGTGGCTTCCCAAATCAGTAAAGGCCGGTGAGAATGACGTGGGACTCCGGTGGAGGGGGGTGGGATATACGGTCAGGGACTGGCCCTCTCTTTCACTTTTCCATCTTTGGGGGGGGGAACACACCAGTTGCCCCTCCCTCGTCAGAGAGTTACTTGGTGGGTAGCTGACTCCGTGTAAAGGTTTATACATATGTATGTAAGATGCAGATTTGTACAGGGCCTGTAATTGTGTAAAAATAAATGCTAATTATACCCAGTTACTAAAATGCGTGTGAAGATCTGTGTTTCTCCAGCCAGGACACACATGAAGCTGCCTTCTACTGAGTCAGACCCTCGGTCCATCACGGTCAGTATTGCCTACTCAGACCGGCAGCTGCTCTCCAGGGTCTCAGGTGGAGGTCTTTCCCATCACCTCCTGCCTGGTCATCTTCTAACTGGAGATGCCTGGGACCTTCTGCATGCAAAACAGAGACTCCTCTACTTCCCCCCCCCCCCAAAACACACGATAGACAGAGCATCAGTGCCACAGACAGAGTGGTCCCTCTATACCAGGGGTGGCCAAACTTGCTTAACGTAAAAGCCACACAGAATAAACATCAGATGTTTGAGAGCCGCAAGACTCTCAACAAATATTACAGACAGGTCATTTAGTAGAAAAAGAGGTGCCGGAGCTCATTAGCATAACTTATTAGCATAATTTATTTGCTAGTGCCACACCCCGACATCACCAGGAGTGTGTCAGAAGGCAACACCCCCCGCTCAGGCTCCACTGGACTGTTTTGGACTGCTAGCTTTTGGGGGGGGGGAACGTGCAGAGTTAAAATCCATTCATCAGTAAACTTGAATGAGATAATCTTTACACAAAATCAGCTACTTTAACTCTACTTATTCACTTTTTCATCTTTTGAGCCAAAATTGCTTCCCTGAGGTTAAGTTGTCTCACTTGTAGTCTTCTTGGGGTTTTGATGCTCCAGACTTCTCTGCCCACATGGCAGTCAGCCCAGTTTTATTGTGATCTTTCCTAAAACACTGCAGCAAAGCAAGTTTGGAGAAGACAGCAGAACCTGAGTAATGCCTGGAAGCACCACAATGCTGTAAGGAGGCAGGAAAAAAATGGGATGGGCTCAGAAACAGGAGGGAGCCAAGTCAGATGCAGGAGGGAGAAAAAGCAGACAAAGGCGAGCCAAAGTTCTTGCAGGACTCACCCCATTGAGGCTGCTGCTGCTGGTTGGGAATGAGGTGCACCTCCCAGGTGGTGGCTGGAGATTTCCTGGGATTACAACTGGTCTCCAGGTGACCGAGATCAGTTCCCCTGGAGAAAACAGCTGCTCTGGAGGGTGGACTCCATGGCACTCTACCCTGCTGAGGCCCCTCCCCTCCCCAAACCCCGCCCTCCTCAAGCTCCACCCCCAAAATACCCAGGTATTTCTGAACCTGGAACTGGCAACCCTTGACTGGCCACCGTTGATCAGAAGAGAACTTTCTTTGTGCAAACGGTTGTCGAAAATATTGTTCATTGTTGAAAACATTAGGGCAGGAGGCTATTTATACACTTTTCACTGTATATTGAAGGTTATACACGTGAGGAAGCTGTATTCTCTCACTATGGCTGCATCAACAAAGACTTTCTTCCTCTATCTAGACTTCCCCAAGGCAGCGTTTTGCTTTTCAGAGCACCCAGACAAAGTGGTCGGGGTTGCCAGCCTCCAGGTGGGGCCTGGAGATCTCCCAGAATAACTACTGATCTCTAGATGATAGAGATAATTTCCCCTGGAGAAACTGGCTGCTTTGGAGGGTGGGATTGTGCCCTACCGAGGTCCTGCTGCTCCCCAAACCCTGCTCTCCCCAGGCTCCACCCTCTCCCAAAGGTTGGCAACCCTAAATGACATCCGTTAATCGTCCACTTTCCAAGTTTCCCCTGTCTTTAATTCTGTCTTTCTCAGACCTGGTTTAGTGTGATCTTTCTGGAAAGAACACGGTACCAAGTACAGGAGAACATAAGAAATTAAGGGAAGCCATGTTGGATCAAGCCAATAGCCCATCCAGTCCAACACTCTGGGTCACGCAGTGGCCAAAAGCCAGGTGCCATCGGGAGGTCCACTAGCGGGGCCAGAACTCCAGAAGCCCCCCCACTGTGCCCCCCCAAGCACCAAGAAGACAGCGCAACGGTGCCCCTAACAGTGGCCAGCCAGAAGTGCCAACTTTCTAGAGAGCTTGCCAGGGCAGCCAGCCACCAGGTGAGGCCTGGAGACCTCCTGGAATCACTACTGATCTCCAGACAACAGAAACGAAGACCCCTAGCTGCCATCGTCTCCTGGTTTTTAAGCCAGAGGTGTGGAGCAGTGTTCCCTCTAAGCTGAGTTAGTGTGAGCCAGCTCACAGTTCTTTAGCTTCCGGCTCTCACGTCTTTGTCTCGGCTCAGGAAGGAGGGCTCCCGAGCAAACTGATTTAGGCAGCAGCCAAATCGCTGGCCCACAGCTTTAACGCCAGTAGCTCACAAAGTGGAATTTTTGCTCACAAGACGCCAGAGCTTAGAGGGAGCATTGGTTTGGAGTTGCACTAAATTTTCCAACAGCCCACATGCAAAGATTAGTGCACTAGCTGTGAGGGAGCGCAAAGTTGGTGTTGTCACCATACATAGACTGGGACGTGTGTGTGTGTGTGTGTGTGGTGGGTTGCATTAACACTTCGTCTATTTCGGTTTTCTGGAATTGGAAACATCGACCTGAGCCTGAGCCCGAGAGAGGAAAAACTGAAGCGTGCATAGTGAATGCTGCTTCAGTTCCTTATTTAGGTTCCTCACCATTAAAACCAAATTAAGAGAAAGCCAGTGTGGTATGGTGCTTACAGCATCGACCTAGGATCTGGAAGACCCAGGTTCGATTTCTCACTCTGTGAAATAAGCCTGGTGAGTGACCTTGGACCAGTCACACACTCCCAGCCTAACCTGTCTCACAGGCAGGGTTGCCAACTCCAGGTTAGAAAATTCCTGGAGATTTGGGAGTAGGGAAGGAACCTCGGTGGGATATAATGCCACAGAGTCCATCCTTAGAAGCTGCCTTTTTCTCCAGGGGAACTGATCTCTATTGTTTGGGGATCAGTTGTAATTCCAGGGGATCTCCAGGCCGCACCCAGAAGGTGGATATAATGGAGAAAGGTAAAAAGGTGAAGGTTTCCCTTGCTCGAAAGCCAGTCGAATCCGACTCCGTTTCCAAGCCGAAGAGCCAGCGCTGTCCGAAGACATTTCTGTGGTCATGTGGCCGGCACAACTAAACGCTGAGGGGCACGGAATGCCATTACCTTCCCATTGAAGTGGTACCTATTTATCTACTTGCAATTTCTTGCTTTCGAACTGCTAGGTTGGCAGGAGCTGGGGCCAGAGACGGGAGCTCACTCCGTCATGTGGCACTCGGGTCTCCAACTGCTGAACTACAGACCTTCCAGTCTGCAGCTCAGTGTCTTCACCTCTGAGCCACCACGGCTCCTAATGGAGAAAGGGGAGACTGTTATAAGCTGCTTCGGATCCCCCGTGGGGAGAAATGTGGGGCATTTAAGCAGACTGGTGACGTGACCTCATTCTACTCTCCCAAATCCTGTGAGGTTAGCCAGGCGGACGCAACGCAGTCGTGACCTTGTAACATCCAAATCCGCACCCGCCCAGCCTCAGAGAGAACAAAAATAAACGCCCCCCTGCAGGAGCGTGCAGCAACAGCTTATCAAATACCCGTTTATTGGAAGAAAACATGGAAAGATCTGGGCCGAGCCTGCGCGGTTTGTAGTGAAGCCAGGCCCGGCAAGCCTGATTCTTAATGCACAGCGTAGGGTAAGGCAACCCCTCTGTCCTGGAGCCACAGCCAACCAAGCCACCCCTTGGCCGGCAGCTCCCTTGGTTGCTAGCGGGCCTGGAAGCAATGCAGAGCATAATGCTGCTTAGGTGGGGGGGGGTCCTGTGAGGTTAGCCAGGCGGACGCAACGCAGTCGTGACCTTGTAACATCCAAATCCGCACCCGCCCAGCCTCAGAGAGAACAAAAATAAACGTCCCCCTGCAGGAGCGTGCAGCAACAGCTTATCAAATACCCGTTTATTGGAAGAAAACATGGAAAGATCTGGGCCGAGCCAGCGTGGTTTGTAGTGAAGCCAGGCCCGGCAAGCCTGATTCTTAATGCACAGCGTAGGGTAAGGCAAACCCTTTGTCCTGGAGCCACAGCCAACCAATCCACCCCTTGGCCGGCAGCTCCCTCAGTTGCTAGCAGGCCTGGAAGCAATGCGGAGCATAATGCTGCTTAGGTGGGGGGGGGGAGGAAGAAACCCTGTTAGTCCTTGACAAACGCGGGAGCTAGACGATGTCACTGGTAGAAGCCCCGGACTCCCTTCAGGCCAGCTGCCACGAGGAAGTATCCTTGCAATCCGAACGTAACATCCATCGAGGCGGGCGCCAGCCTCCGCTCCCCATCCCGAGTCGAAATGCGGGAGATGTGTCCTTCTACAGAGGAGGACTCGGCTGCCGTCTGAGCCCAGAGACCTCCAAAGGCTTCGATGGGCTGTAGGCTGCCGTCTGAGCCCAGAGATCTCCAAAGGCTTCGATGGACTGTAGGCTGCCGTCTGAGCCCAGAGATCTCCAAAGGCTTCGATGGGCTGTAGGCTGCCATCTGAGTCCAGAGATCTCCAAAGGCTTCGATGGACTGTAGGCTGCCGTCTGAGCCCAGAGATCTCCAAAGGCTTCGATGGGCTGTAGGCTGCCGTCTGAGCCCAAAGATGCTTCGATGGACTGTAGGCTGCCGTCTGAGCCCAGAGATCTCCAAAGGCTTCGATGGGCTGTAGGCTGCCGTCTGAGCCCAGAGATCTCCAAAGGCTTCGATGGACTGTAGGCCGCCATCTGAGTCCAGAGATCTCCAAAGGCTTCGATGGACTGTAGGCGGCAAGCCCAGAGGTCTGGGCTGGCCTTTATCCCGCCAAGCCAGGGAGCCCAGAGTTCAGCGTTCTCTTTTTTTCCCCTCCCGATCAATGACAGTTGTGGCAGTTGGGGTGGCACGGAGCTCCGTTCAGCCTGCAGCGGCAGCCGCCGCTGGTATCGCCAGAGCCCTGGAAGGAACGAGGACAAAAGAAAGTGAAGTGGGAGCAAGGAAGCGGCAGAGAAGGCATGATGGACTATCTCAGGGGCGGCCAAACTTGCTTAACGTAAGAGCCACATAGAATAAATGTCAGATGTTTGAGAGCCCCAAGACATGAACAAATATCACAGACACGTTT